AAGTTCCTTTTCCTTTAATTTCACTTTCTGCTGTTAATCATGAATCACATTTCACAGAAAGAAAAGTGTCCCTCATGTTTTTCTCACACACAAACGTAATTTGGAGCAATTTGAATTTGCTCATGAGTGAAGTTGAAATAGTGTTACTATGCTATTCTCTATAACAGATATGTGACATTTGGCAGTGCAAAGCCTATTTCAAATATAATTTATATTAACATGGAGTCCATTTCTTTCCTTATTTCATAGAATCCCATTGGAAGAAGAGGCATGGCAGTAGTGAGTTTGAAAGTTTAATAAATTCCTAACTAAAATATTATGATTCTGACTGTGAGCCCAAGCAGTTGGTTTCATGTTTTCCTTGAGATATGTTTAGGCTCATGCCACATTGCAGTCCATTACTGTTATTAATTTTTGTCTATTTGAAGCAACTATTTACGATGTACCGAGACATCAGAACTACAATGCTGCAAACTTAAGTTGCACATTTTAGATTAGTGACAAAAAGGTTTCACGGGATCAAGTTTGAAATTTCTTATCAAATATCGGCGAAATTTTGGTCATTGATCAAATTGCTGTCCGACAAGTCATTGTATCTGGTGTGAGGATGCTCCATGAATTATGCACACGTGTAATGTAGCTCTTATTGTCGTGTTGGTATCTGGTATTTAGGTTTCAAATCTCACGTTGTCTTAGGAAGATCCAAACAGTTTTTATTCGTTTATTTTCAGGCTCATCTGGACGGAAGAAGCACAGGAAAAGTGAGTCCGTCTGTGAAAATGTCTGCATCCTTACTTTCTTTTATACTTTTGGTAGATGGGTATCGTTTTGTTTAACCCCACATTCCATAGGGTTCAGTGAAAATTGATTAAAGTGATGAGAAAATCCCTTTTCTTTGTCTGATATCTTGTTTGCCATCTAAACCTCCGTGTCTTGATCAGCGTGAGTATTTAAAATACAACAGCGGGTCCCGTGTCGTAGTTCTGCGCTGTCATTTACTAGCGGTGCAGTGCATCCAATCTCCCGATCTGGTCTGGAACTATTAAACCGACCAAGAACATGTCTTTTTCCCATAAATATGTACCATTTTAGTAAAAGATTCAAACGAATTTAATATGCCATAAATTTCGACAAATTTGTTCAAAAATTTTTCTTTTATTTCCCCGAACTCTCCCGTCAATTTGATGGTATATTAGTTGTCCAGAAGAAAAATTATGGATCTGGCGCACGCGTGGTGAGTTCTGCGTGCTGCGTGCACACAGACTCTTAACCAATTGGAATCGCTTATTAATCTCATCTCATAATAATACGTGGACTGAAGAGGGCGTGAAGCTAGTTCGCTGTCCGTCCTGACCATTTGGCCCTGGTCGGCCTGACTTTCAATGTCCAAATTCGTCTAAATTGCGTTTCGGTTTAAAAGTTATGCAGGCTTGTCTAATCATTATATGTGTTGCTGCAGCCTGCAGTAACACATCTGATCGGCATTATCCCTAAAGCCCCCCAATTGGCTCAATACCAGTACCCGTGTGTATTGGTCGTGGTGCCCCAAGTTTTTATACGCCACGCACGACACGCCACGGAATGACCGTACCGTGTACGGCAATTTTACCAGTGCGTGCCAGCATTGTACACGTACGTAGGCTTAGAACATTCTGCGGGAAAGTAAATTGTGCGTGTGCGATGTCCATGTTTCCCTTAGGTCAACACGAGACAAAAAGGATGTCCTGATTATAATTGTTCGCAAATGTACGTCACACCTAACGCCATCATTTGTCAGGATTGAAACATTAATTTGAGGGGTTAAGGAAAGTAATATACCAAAGGGATTTTTTTCCAGATTTACATCCACTACCGTATTCAATGCGTGCTAGAAATATTTAAATCAATTAATTATTAATTAATCAGCAACCTTGCAATACACATTCGGCGAAAACACCTTAATAACAATCCAGTATTTGTTTCTTTTTAGTGTGAAGGTATTAATGGAAATTCATATATTCATCCACGTCCAATTTGTAACCCTTTGCTGTAGATGATGCTTGGTTACCAGCAGATGTACTCTACATGAATACCCAAACTCATCCTTACCTTTCTTTTGGTCTCTATTTGAAACTTTCAACTTAATCATCATGTAATGGCGAAAGGTACCAAACAAAATGGGGATTTAAACTGAAGTTCATTTTCTTTGCGTCACTTTCTTCACGGTATTGTGTTGATTTCTTTCTTTCTTTTAACCTTTTCTCTTCATTTCCATTTTCCGCTGCCTAGAAGCACTACAAAAACAGTAGTTCAGTGGTTTTTGTTCATTTATCGAGTTTTTGTCGCATTTTAATCCCAAACCTAACATTTTCGCTGTTGGTGATGCTTGCTCATAAGTGATCTATGTTTAAATTGAAAATCTTCACTTTCATCTATAATGACATGTAATTGCAAACGTACCAAACAAAACTCGGATTTAAAACCCCGAAGTTTATTTTCGTTGCTTGAAATCGACCATTCATGCTGAACAGAAACAAAGCATAGTAAAGTTCGTGTGACTTTTTTATTTCAAGTGGAATCAGAAATCATATTCTTCTGTCACTCTCTTCATGTTGCCAAACCCTGCGTCAATTTCTTCATGGTATTGTGCTGCTGTATTCCAGTTTTGTATTTTTGATGTGTTCTCCTACTTATCTTTTTCAGCTGTCAAGAAGTACCGCAAGAAACGTAAGTTCAGCGGTCTTGCTACTGTTAAAGCCTTTGTTACATTTTATGTTATAAAAAAATGAAGCCAAATATCCTAGTTTAAGAGCAGCTACCTCCTTTCGTTACGAATGTAGTAGAAATGGTTTTTAAACTGCCTTCTATGTTTTACTTTGATGCTCTTATTGGATTCACTCTCTAAATAAGTCGGTTTAATCAAAAAATAATTAAAATTTATATATTTAAGTAGATTGGAAGTGAGCGCAATGTTAAACACTAGCTTCTAGATGTTTGTATGTTTTTCCTGCCTTGTCAAGAGATGTTTTTTCTTGTTTTGTTTGTTGTGAAATACATTCCTCTAAATCCTTTTTCGGGCAGAATTATCTAAAAAGAACAACTGCTAAAAAAGAAACTGCAAGTTATATTCACAAGTGTTTATTTTGTTTTTCATGTTTTGACTATTTTGAAAACAAACCTTGGATCGGCCAAATGTACAGTTGGTCCACAAAATAATTTTCCATTGTTTTACCATGCTGACAGTCGTTGGCGTAAATCTATGCCGGGGACTGGGGATGGAGCACTATTTCAACTCACAAAAAAGCCCGGCCGTGTACATTCCAAACGCGGGGGTATTGATGGACGCTGTATAACACCAGGGGGCGCTGTTCATAATACTCATTGTAAACCCATTTAAACTTGCACCCTTACAAATCGACCCATCTAAAGCTTATGCACTTTTTGTGGCTTTTCATTATTAATGAAATAGTGTTGTTGGGCAGTTCAGAGTATACTTCAGAATGCGCCATTTTTTTTTCTCATCACAAAAAGTGAGGGGATGATCCAGTATAGCCCATGACTGGTCAAAAAGCAAGGGGATGTACACCCATATCCCCATCCACAGAATTTACGCCCGTGCTGAGAGTTAGTTTACAGGGAGCCATATTTTGATATGAAATGCCGACATTTGGCGCGCTTACACCGGTTATATAGTTTTCGTAATAATGCCAAACTGGTATACATTACTTTGCAGGTTATCGAAGACGGTCTGGAAGCGGTAGTGGTACGTTAACTTGTTCTTTTCACATTCATATGTACATTGTGTCTGTCTTGTTCACCTCTGTCTTTGTGTAACAGTGTGTAGCAATGGCGTAGGTAGGCTTTGGAGGGGGTCAAGGAGTGGGAGGGCAGTTGCTCCTTTTGACTCCATGCACCCTTTAGGTATGCCACTGACTTTGTACAACGGGCGGCTCATTCACAAACATGTTGAATAGGTCAGTGTCTACACCAGAGTTACGCGTATAGTACCGATGACTTGGAGATGAGTGACCTCCCTCTCCCCCAAAAGCTCGATTTTTCTGAGGGGCAGGGGAGTTCCCGGGGGGTTGTAGTTTCCCCTGTACCCCCCCCCGCGGCTACGCCACTGGTGTGAGGGGGAGACGACACACTGCCCATAAACTTAATCAATGACGTCAAGATTTGTTTACATTGTGCGTTCTTATGTGCCCCATTAGAAAGCGCACACGCAAACAAAGCGTGATGTTATTATTTCTTTCAGGTCTGTTGTATTTTGTGGGTGCCTAGCTGCAGGATTTGATTAAAGGCCATAATGAATACATCAGACAATAATGCATTTTTAATTTTGTCGCTCACACCAGATTAGACGGAGAGAGTCGAAAGAAAATGGATTGGAATCGGCACCAGGGTGAGTGTACTAACGCAGTGAAAGAGAAGTGTGAAGTGGTTTAGTCGCTTTGACTCAAATTCTTACACTCCATGTTAATAAGTACATAAGCAACGGAGCAAATACGTTTAATATGGGATTAATAACAGCAAGTTATAGCTCCATGAAAAGTTAGAATTGCGAATATCAACAGAACTTTAGTCTCGCTACTTGCATGGCATGCAGGCACGAAAATTCAATCGATTTATCAGCATTCTGCCTTAATGTGCGATGCCTAAAGTAAAGCCCTGTTGAAAAAAATCAGAATCTTAGAGAGTTTCAACATATTCACCTTGAAAGAACTACTCACAAATTTAGGATGTAATGTAAAAATTGTGTGGTTTGGCCCCATGTGCTTCGAATGTACGTCAGTACCTTAAACCCAAGGCAACACAACAAGTAGTTCATTCATTCATCACATCTAGACTTGACATGCACAATGCTACCTATTATAGTATCCCATAGTAGCGATTACACAAACTTTGAAAGGTACAGGTCACTCCTGCTTGACTGGTTACACAGTGCCCTCGCACTCATAGGCTGGGCTTCACGTACATTGTCAGACCAGCCAACCTCTGAAATCACAAAACTGTATACTGAAAATGCCAAAGTTGTATTTTTCACTTTACAAAATCGTATTTTTCAAAAATAAGTATATTTTTCCGTGATCGGTTCGACCAACTCTGGATCGAGTCAATACTTCTTCACGCATAACATTAATCAGGCGACAAATCTATTATCGAGGTTTGTGGACTGGGAGAGTTGGCCCTTTTCCCATCTGATTCGCCAACGTTTTCAAAATCTGAATACTTTGTTACAAAGAATGCACATTGCGCACGTCCAGGCTTTCGGGGTTTCCGTACGGGGATTTGAGTCTACCGCACGCAAATCTCCGATGTAATGCACCCACTTCCATTTCCGAGGATTCGTAACTTCAGGACCGGTCTTATCAAAGTTTGAATCTAAGTCAGAGATTAGTTTGGACACTTTATACATTTGTGTTGCACTGACATTTTGCTCAGTTTATATCCAAAATTGTTTGGAATCTCCATGAAATCTCGTACGAAACAATGCATGTAGAGCATGCAAAAGCGCGATAATGCACGACTGTACGACTTTTCCCCGCACTTGTCACGAAGCTCTCTATCGGAGAAAGCGAAAATATACTAACCTTATTTCAAGCCGCAAATTTACGGTGAAATGCATCACGCGTTATAGGGAAGATTGTTAGTCGACCAACTCTGCTGACGAAGGAACGAAAATAAACGTGAATATTGATATTTCATGGGTAGCCCATCAGAGCACAACGATAGCATGGTTCTACAATTCTTGCACTGATAACTGTTAGCACGTATACGTACACACATCATGTCAACGCGGTATGTACCGGGCTGCGCCATGGCTGGTGGGCCTGCAGTACATGTACGTGTATGTTGAAAGTACTGTAGCGCCGGCGGGTTCGGCCAGTGGGGGCGCCAGCTCGGACCCGCATGGAGTTGGCTGGCTGCCCGCGCTGGTATGCGAACGACCCGCAGTTTTCCCGCCTTGCGCCTGCGCAGTCCCTGCCGACAGGCGCCATGTTTAGAGTTGAGCTGAAAACGCATTGTTGTGGATGACAGCATTAAAACAGATTTCGTGACCAAAACAGCGAGTTGCGGCTGTGTATGATTCTATACCAGCGTTGAACCCTGATCAGTAGGACACGCTACAGTACACACAGGCCCTACATGTACATGTCATCTCTCCAAATTTGGATGGTAAAATTCGGCCTCTTAATTTCTGGTAGTTTGAAAACAGGGAGACACTGAAATGTCTCCCTAAAAGCCAAAGTCTCCCTAATGCTGAAAAATTTACCACAAAATGTCTCCCAAATGACCTATTTGTAAATATAATGCTTACTTTTTCTTGAGTTTTCACGTGTTACATATAAACGAGAATACTACAAAAAATCAACATCTGACAGCACCAAAAAGCCGTACGCACGCCCCCTATCCCCCCGTACGCTTTGTACGACCGTGAAAATGTTGGAAACTTGTATTTTGTACTCTTTAATTTGATTCCACTTAGCCTATTCTGGTGTTTTTAACAGAACCGTGCGTGTTACAAATTTAATATTACTATTAATGTCAATGACACAAAGTAAACAGCTTGCCAGTCAGATTTTGGGATTTTGTTCAGGTGTTACACAAAATAAAAACAGTCCAATTGTGCATAATTTATCATTTAGATTTATTAAAAGGTCATTAAAAGGTAATAACAAATGTGTTTTCTGGATTAATGTTTTGTACTCTTTTTTGTTCTCTCCTTAGATTCTGTGAACTTTGCAGGATCCTCGGAGGACACACGACATGAAATGTATTTTCATGATTACATTTTAATTTTAGCTAAATTTACGAAATTGCTTGTTTCTGTGCATGTGGTTTCTCTTTAGGATGACTACGCTATTCCTATGTTATATTTATTTTAGTTTAATTCTATTTTAATTACCGTTCTCAGGTTGAAACAGTTGACGTTTAAATTAAGTTTTAGTGTACACACTAAATGGAAATAGAATTGTTGGCTGCATTCGAACAAAAATATGTTAACAAAGTTAGCCTTTAGCTAAAGTACTTCACGGTGATTAAAAGGTTGATTTTCTCAAATCACATAATCTTAGCAATACAGCAACATAAAAAACCACGTTTATTACAGTTACCTCATTTCATGTGGAATCCATCCGAACAAGTCGTTTGATTTTGTTATATATACATGTACATCATTAGACACTTATGCATTCTATAGTTAATTACTAGATTGTCCAATCTAGGTCTTGTGTGGACCTTGTCCTGTGGTTAGCAAATAATATGCTGCGGTATGAGGGCAGACCAAGCTCATATTGTTCTCATTTGCTAATCACAATTGTTTCCAGAGACATGAAGCTCGTGCCTTCCAGGCAGCAAGGAAAACAATGTTCACCTTAAGAAAGTACAGTTTTTGTTGATTTAACTGGTGAAGTTTAAATTTTTGCGGATTTCATGTCATGATTTTTAAATGCTGAGGGTTTACCTCCTAAGAAACGTATTTCGCTTAATGTGACTGAAATACTGGTCTGAATTTTGTGTGAACCTTGCTTGCTCCCTAATCCTCGAACAATTTTAATGATAGTCCTGTGGAGAATGAAGGAAATCCAGTTTGAAATCGCAAGTGTTGCTTCTTCCTTATAGGCCTAACCCTCAATTTGAAGAATTTTATTGAAAAGAGTTGAACTGACAAAACTAATCATTCCACATAATACGACATTCCACGACATTTTAAAGTCTTCCGTGAAAAGTTTTTTTGTATTTTTTTCTGCTGCTTTTTATCCTTTCGTGCCATTACATGCATTTCTAAATCATTTAGAATATTTTACATGCAGCACAGACGGGTTTCCCGTTGATTAAGGTTACAGATTGGTCATTGTTGATATTCCTAACCATTTGCACAGGTGACTTTTCCTCCGAAAACCATGTTTAATAAAAAAAAAATAATGATATCGCCCTAGCTGTTCCCCAGTGGTGAGGCCCACCTTGTTGCTGCACCAAAGGGCCCATATTTACGGAACGGAAAGCGATACACAGTAATGTCGTGCGATATATTACGTTTTTACACAACAGCAAGAAACGACACAGTTTTTAAGTTAATGATATTCCACATCAACAATGAAGTAGCAGCCAGACCATCAGATCGTGTCTAACTAGAAGGCTAATTGGCAAGAACACGCAGTCTCAGCTCGGTATCTTTGGGAAAATTACTTGTTGCAGCGGTTTGTCAAGAGACTACGAAGTATGTCTGCTCTGAATGTGAGCAACCTACAGAAACTTGTGTGTATTAGGCTATACTTTGGACTGCGCGGAATTCCCTCACAGCGAGCGTGAGAAATAGGCCTAAAATGTGCTCTTTTTGAACACTAACAGCAAACAGCTAATAGCTTGTTGCCTGGCTTTTCGTTTTGTATTCGGCGGTTCCTAGAGTATAACGAAGGAATTCAAGAGGCCTGCTGCCACACCCAGGCCCTCTTCAGAGGGAATTTGTGCGCCGAGAGGCCTTGCTCTGCCAAACGTAGCCAGGAAAAATGACATTTCCCCTTTTAGTTCCCAAAACAAGTCTCGCACACTAAACTACTTAGAAAGGCCTTTAGGTTCAGTATGAAAGATGGCATATAGTTCACACAACATTCAGACCATTTGATATCAATCAAGTTTTATATTTGGGTGTTTGGCCTCAGTTTATTTTATCATTAGTTCATCACAATTTTCTGGTGGCAGGTTTGAACATTAAATTACGCAAGCATTGATTCCTATATGTGTCTTTTCATTTATTGAAAGACTTAGTAGTCGATTTAGGGCTTCATCTTTGGCACAGGTTAAGTCTCTTCTTTCATGAATGTGTCATTTCTCGCTGCAAATTTTTGCGTTGGTGAAGTGCATACATTGTAATTTGTTTAGTGTTTTGGAAGACACACTCTTGGTTTTACCAACGATGTTGTGAGGGTGGAGATTTATTCAACGTATTCAAAATGCAACTTTGTCTTTTTACTATTATGGAGGGCTGGTGAAGGTGAAGGAGTTAAAATAAAAAGGCACCCACACCAGGGCTGCAGTCACTCCGTTTATTTCTGAAAGGAGCAAGCGGTGTGCAGGCCAGCAGCAAGGAAAAGACAGCACGTTGGGGGAATCAATTGCACAATTACAAAAATGACAGAAAAGGAAAGAAAAGAAATCCCATCAGTGAAATGCAAAATCGTCACCATAACAGACCCTATATACGAAGTAAAATACATGAAGTTCTAAACAGCCGTTCCTTACTATGGCTCAATTGTCAAGGTTTGAGAGCACATCCTGGACTTCACAGTAAATCTCTTTTAAGAACACATTATAATAATCCCAAACATCAGATTACACTGTTAATGACAAAGAATTAGTTCAAACTGCCATTACATAGTGCCAAATTAAGCTTTTTACAGTGAAAGTAATGATTAAGTATCATTTACCTACTGTAACATGAGATTTCTCTCCAAAAGCAACAATTTCTCAAGAGACTAAATCCAATTGATTGGAAACTCTGACCTTTGTGTTCTCATGTGCATGTGTTCTGTGAATTAGTCTAATCAACCAAAATACACCATGCGCAATGACCTACAAAAGCAATTTCAATCACCAAGAAGGAGCCTACATACTTTCACTATAATAATGTATACACACAAAAATATCAATTAAACGCTGGGAGCCCCCTCGACTGAAATTGTGATTACAGTGGATGACCAGCCGAATATACTTTTCTTAATGTGAACGCAAGAGGGCGTCCTTTGAACATTGTGACTTACGGGAAAGAAAATTCTAGTTTACATCATGTTTCACTGAAATATTGCTTTTCCTGACTTCATTATACGGTGCCACAGCCCCCAATACAATGGCTTATTTCCAATTCATTAATGACCATTTGCTAAAAAGGGTAACTTTTACCTGAAAGGAGCAAGCAGTGTCCAAGCCAGCGGTACGAAAGACCATGGGGGAGGGAGGGGAGTGCATTGGGGACTGGCGTGTCATCGCTTGGTGGCGCTGTCACTTATCGCGCGCAGAGTCAATATTAC